GGGGGGGGGGGGGGGGGGGGGGGGGGGTCACACTTAAGCAGGCAGACAAGCAGGCATGTCAGAGATCAGGCAGTGCATGCACATGCAATAAGAGCAGGCAATCAGGCGAAAAGGAGTCAGACATTTTGGCACAGAAAGTGACTACATCACTGCTAAGGTTGGCCAGTGGCACCCAGGGCTGATGAAGACACCCCAGAATGGGGGGGGAAAAAAAAACTCTTGCATATCGTTGTTGTATATATATATATATCCTCCACTGGTCCATCCTGCTTTGTAGCCTCGCACTGATGAAGCCCAAAGGCTTACAGGTCTGTGAGGTGTGGTAGAGGACACACCAGCTTGCTTTGAAGACCACCAGAGCAAGCATTTCACATGCCTCGTTTCCACAAATGCGGTGCTGGTGCCGGACTTTTCCCCCCAATCCAGAACTGGTTCTGCAAGTTTCCACCGCAAAAAAATGGCCCTGGGCCAGAAAAAAAACAGCTCCAGCAAGGTACCCCAGAAAAGCTGGGGTCAGATTTTGGCACTGTAACGTCACCGAAAGTGGGACGGTCTATCATGTCAAGCCTTCCGCGTACCCAGAAAATTCAATCCATCACACATACAGTTTAGTCTAATATCACCGGTGCCAGCAGTGGAACAACCTGCCAGCTTACAGAATAACGTCATTTTTTTTTATTCTGTGAAAAACGAAAGACCAATCCGCTGGCCAGATTTAAAGTGTAAATATGTTGCAGGTCGAATAAATAAGATATTGCGGCGTTCGAGTGGCAAAGAGATCATGAGGCGAATAGCAAAGTTCAGTTTTAGCCGACTTGTTGCGCGACCCTTAAAAGGACAACGGTAGCTCAGCAACCGAGAATAACACACAACGGAGCCTTTACGGAGACAAAATGTCGTAAGATAGTTTAAAATAGTATGGATTGTATTTGCTTAAAATAAGATATTTTACATAAAATATTATCTTGCCCTATAACAATTGTACAATTCACATTAATTACGCAACATCACATTGTTTTTTATTCTGCAGGAAACAGAAGATTGATTTAGTAATAACTGTAAACGTCACAAGTCAAATAAATAAAATACAGTGCCACTCGAGTGGTGAAGAGATCATGAGGCGGACAGCAAAGTTAAATTTTTAGCAATCCTTAAAAGGACAGCGGTAAAACAGTGAGCGAGAATCACACAAACAGATGGGGGAGCCTTTAAGAAGACAGGCAATAGAGACAAAGGGCAACAAGTCATATTCTGAAAACACTATCGGTTTGCCAGCTTATAAAAACTTATCCAGACCAACAGATCAAAATAAATCCAAAAAAAAAAACAAAATGCAGATGAACCTTTACTTTCACTTCCGACTACGTAACATTTCAGTTCTTTTTTGAAACCAGTAGAAACGCAGGCAGGTTCTCAAGCAAGAACCAGCCCAGCATTAGTACTGGCACCGGCACCAGCTCCATGTTGGTGGAAACGAAGCAACAGTGCTTTATCTCACAGTCTGCAGGTTCTGGCTGCATATGGAGGAGTTTCAGGCAAATGAGCACCCTGACCCGGTATTCGCCCCACTGGACAGCCCTGCCTTGAATTTCTGACGCGCAGTTTAAGTGGCTTTATGGGGAAAAAGGCAGCTTTGTCTGCAATATTAAAATTACTTTCCTTCAGAATTCAATCGTTTGAGAAAGAGTGACTCTGATGGGCAAGGGAGCCTTGGAGATTCAGGATTATACCACTATGAGGGAACATGGGAGAGGGGCAGCCTTCAGTAAACTAAGAGACACAGTACCGCAGGTTAAACAGCTACAGAAGGTCACATGTGCTGCACAGCATCACACAACCTGGGCACCACAGAGTCTGGGAGCATCGCACAAGAACATCACAAAGCATCATAGGGGTCAGACAGATTCCCAAAGGTTCATGAAGCCACACAGACTCGGGGCCACAGGGCTGACATAACCGCCCTTGCTCACAGGATGCCCCCTGTCTACCACCCCCCCCTCACCCTCCCTCCCTCCCTTCCTTATGTCCTTCCCTTATAAGGAGTAAAATCTGAAAAGGTGTAAGAGTGAGCGGTACATAACGGACACTCGGGCAAAGGCAGCCTTCTCAATATCAGCCACCCATGGGGCCACGCCACTGGGATCTAGACAGAACGGACAGCTCGGGGTGGGAGTCTGTGGGGGGGGGGAGGGTAAGGGCGGCGGCAGGCTCGGGCACATCAGCACACAGGAGGAAGTAAGAGCAGCACCTGATTGTGGCCCCTGGGCATGCTCTGTAGACACCTCAGTGCACACAAGCTCTCTGCCACCGAGGAGCAGCCGAGCCAGAGAGAGCGAGGCACAGAGCACTGCAGACAGAGAGAGGGGGTGGGGGATGGGAGAGACAGCTATTAGAGCCGCACGCACGCAGACGCTCGCACACGGACACACGCACGCGGGCGTGCGGCTGCTGGAGAGCCGCCTGGATGGAGAGGGGAGTGGGGGAGATGCGAGGGCCAGCTGCCGCCGCCACTGCTACGGCTTCAGAAGAGATGCCACAGGGTGGGGCTGAAAGTCAGTTGAGAGCGGCACTCGCACTTTGACCGTAGTCTGCCCGCGTGCACCTGAGGGTTTTCCTGCTGGTGTTGGACCGCGATGTGCAAGTCTGTGACTGTGGAACAATGAGGGTTTAGAGGGAGGGCCGGTCTCTGAACCCACAGAGACAGTCCAGCTGCGAGAGGTAAGCATAGGGGGAGGTGCTTGTGAGGTGGGAGCCAGTGCCATTACTTTCACTGGAAAAGATGGTGTCGCCGCCCGATCGGAGCTCCCAGCACAGTGCATGTTCTCTGTTTTTCTACATACAAAAACATATGGAGGATGCCTTAGACAGACAGACTAGCAGCAAGGAGTCCATGCAAGACATCATGGTAGAATTTAATATTCTAGCATATGAATATGACAAACAGAAAAAAAAACCTTAAGGAATCATTTTAGCCAATTATCTCCTTGTTAGTAAAGCATGATGCTTAAATTAGGAGTGAAATTTAGCATTTTGTTAGCAATTTTTATATCCTGGCTAGGTGAACTAAAAAAATAAACAGTAAATCATATTTATTCAATTGTAATATAATGGCAATAAGAAAAACACAGAAAGCAGGGGACAGACTGGGCAGTGAATGAGGTATTGTCAGCGCGAACAGTGAGGGGCAGGGCAGTGTCAACCGGGACAGCAGGGGTGGGGGGTGTCACTGACAACAGCAGGATCGGTGGGGGCTGGTCAGATGAGTCACCCGAGTCAAATTTGTGCAACATAGTGGCAAAAAGAGTGATTACATCACAAGTAAATACAAAACTGCATGTTCGATTCAAACCGTCTAGAGAGATGAAGATAGCAAAGGGTAAGAGGAGCTTGTTTGATGAACCGGGATGATGACCTCCTCCATACCAGGACTGATAAGACGAAACTCTGTGTGCATGGTGAGGGATGATGGCGGCCGCACACAGTATGACATGTAAAAGCAGGCACACTACAAGATGCACGCACACGCACAGTTATACCACTGTTAGGCTGCAAGGTCACTTAGGGTCTCTCTGCCAGATTTGTCTACCCTGGCATCGCGCAGACTGCATGACCGGAAGGCTACCATTTGACAGTGTTAGAGTGTCCCACACCAAGAGAATATCAGCTCAGCTGAGCAAGCTCTCTTCCAGGCTGCTTTCTACTGTACGGCCAGGCATGCGACAAGGTTAAAAGCATCTTCAGGTTAAACGGAGAGGTCGGAAGAGCCAAGGAAACAAAGAACAACTCACCAGGAAGGGAGAGAGTGAATGCCATAACCCCATCCCTTAACATAACTGATTAACAAAGGCTATGACAAGAAGCAAGGCGGCCTGCAATGTTGCGATCATGGTAATTCTGAAGGCGTGAGCATCGCCAGTCGTCTCAAAACCCCTTCTTTTGACAACACTGCTCCACAGAACTTCAGGAGCTGATCGAGACAGCCTTTCAGAGGAAACAGTACAACGGATTACAGGAGCACTGCTGGTCACTCCGGGCTCTGAGCAGAGCTGAGGGGGCCTGTAAAATAGCCCCCACCTCAGCAGGCGGCGTCATCAGGGATACAGGGCTGTCTCCCGGTCGTGTCTCCTCCCATCTCCTCACGCAGATACTCATGCAGCCAAACCTCAGTGTTGTGTACACACGACTGGAGTAAGCTTGGCGCAAAACACTGCTGTGGCTTCAAAGCCTGCCAAAGAGATGAGCCACTCAAAAGCAGTGTGATGTGGGCGTGGTTCCGCGGAGCTCTACCTCAGTGCACTCCGCGGAGCTCTACCTAGCAGTGACAGTGAAAAGAAGGCATTCACTCCCTATGAAGGAACGAGTACAAACGATCCAGAACTCACCGATCGAGAGCTGATAACTGGTATTAAATAGAACAGAGGCTCCCATAATTTCCAATTTCCATCAACTATGTAAAGCAAATACTACTCCAGCATCCATTAAATGTGATTAAACAAGGTTTGCGTGAATAAACAAATACTACGCCAACAGCAAGAAATTAGGAGAAGAGAAAAAAAATCTGTTTTATCAAAACATTTAACCTTTACCCAAATGATTAAGGCACAATAAAATTTAATTTAATTTTAATTAGGATCAAAATGGGCAATAGTTGACAGTGCGTCATTACATATCAGCTATGGACACACTGCAGTTATATGAACTCCAAACACATACATTAATCAGATTTATTAATATGGGTCTAAGAAATACTCTGACTCATTACAACATGTAATATCTTTTATTATTTTAACCATTTAGACTAGTTGGAAGAGCATATGAATAATAATGTGTCATTTATTCAAAGATACAATTCGCCACTGAAATGGTCAGAGCAGGTTTCCAGAAACAAAAATATTGAAAAGCATATCTCAGTAATAGTTTTATTTAATATGACGCTTCGAAACATTTTTTAAATGATGTAATCCTTAAATTAAGTCTCGTATACATTAAATTACTACGGTTTGTATAACGATGTATGGGATGAAGCGCTTCGGTTGACAGCATCACTTTTTGTCAAAGTAAACAATGTATTATGCTAATTCGGAACAACGCCAGTTTCTTTCCACATGTACATTTGACCCGGGACGAAAAAGAAATGTATGGTTATTCATTTTTTAATATTCAGAAATCAAAATAAATTAAGTATGACTCAGTATCTGTACATTTTCGGGCATCGCAGGCGTTTCTTCCCAGTATACAAACAGGCGCAGACATACACAGAAAATGATGTACTGGGATTAAATCATACCGCAATCAGATGATTGAAACTCTTCCAGTTATATGAATCCAGACTAAAATCTAAAAACACACCGCCCCTGACTCTCAGGCCATCGGCATACCAGCTGCTTAAATAAATCATAACCGGACTGGACCGATCCGCAGTGAGATCGACCGCACAGTCCATCACCCCCGGAACCGAATTCAAATCAATTTCAAGTTACAATGATAAAACGTGTAAGGCGGCAGACATTTTTATGATCCCGGAGCCTCCAGACTCACCACTTCCTTCTACGCAGCTCGAAAAAGGCACATACGTACACGGCAAAAGAAAACAAAGTTCACAACAATAATAACAATAACTGGTTTTAAAGGGCCGTGAAGGGTAGCGAGGCAGCCGTTACAGCGCACCGAGCAGGGTGTCTTGCGGGGCCCGCCGTGCGCCCGTGTGACTAAAGCGAGCCTCCGACAAGCGGGCCGAATGGCGCAGCGGCGCCGCAGTGAAACACTTCGCCGAGCTTACGGCCTCCGACCCGCCGACGTGCCCTTCGCTACACCCCGCCTCGACCTCAATCACCCAAACGAGCGTCACCTTTAGGCTTCGGGCTGTAACGCTGAGTCCAGTAAATGGACAGGATATAAAGCCCCCTAAGCATAAAAGTGCGACCCCAGGCCTCGTATCGGTTATTGTATCTCGGTTTCGCTCCCCCTCCTTTTTTCCTCCACCTCTGTCAATCCAGGGCGACTCCGTATTCTACCCCCGAAAGGTTTCCCCTTCTTCCTCCCTCATTTGATACCCCCGGTTAACTTTCATCTTACGCCTCAGCTTATCCCCATGGCAGAAACAAAGAGGCTCCTCCGCAGACTCACCATAAGCTCCAACGTTTTGTCCTCAATATCCGGCTCCATGTTGTTGTTCCCCAAGCCTCTCTGGTAATGAAAATGGAAACCCAGCCCTGCGTCGGCGGCCCGCAGCCGCGCTACGTCACGGCACGCAGAGGAAGAGCACCGCCCCCTTCCGGTAAAAGCAGAGTTACCCCGGCAGCTGGGGGCTACGTAACGGCGCAAAGAAGAAGAACTCCGCCCCCTTCCGGTAAAGGCCGAGCGGCATCGGCAGCGGAACGGACGCACTGGGCTGTGAAATTTGTTAACTGGGCTTGCAGCGGGCAGGACTAATACATAAATGGACTGAAACGTATGACTTTTTGATAGAAGAGTCTTTGGAATTTATGCTAAAATACGTGGAGGGGAAAAATGGTAAAAACAATGAATTGTTTCAGAAAACGTGACCCAATTGTATAAAACATACTATTTTAGATGTAAAATGCTGTCTTTATATTTAGGCAATACTTGGCAGGATTAATGTCCTGGGACTACCAAAACCCCCCAAAATAAACTGGAGTATTAATGTCAGAACACAAGCGTTGCATATGTAAAATCGGAAGCATGCGCTTTGATTTAAAATAATTGGCTTTATTACCATCATCTTCCTATGGCACAGATGTTTACGTTTTTTCCAAATGCTCCCTGCTTCTGCACTACATTATCAAACCTTGGTCAGAAATGGCAGTTTAAGCCAGAAAGCTCTTGCCATTTAATAGCTGTGCATTATATATTCTCTTGCCTTGGTGAGCTTCCAATAAATAGTTATCCTGAATACCGCCCCAGCACATCACTGATCCAGAAAAAATTTGTGTAAATTAAAGCAGTACATATTTTTAGTAAGTTTATTAAAAATGTGTACAGTGAAAACCTTGTTTCACTTTTCCCACAACTAATGGCCATACAAATGAAATTGTGACGGGCTGCATTCAAAGTAACTTCAAACTCCACGTCCAACCTCCATCCATGCGAAGTGTTGATAAATTCTCTTCCAACTACTGCATCTTTCTGAAAGTTACACAAACATTACCAGACCCCCAATCATGGTCACTGCCAAGTCTTTGCGTACGGCTCTTTCCAGATTTATATGTAATTAATAGTTTTGTAACATAACAAAATTACACTCATACATTGAGGTCATTTTTAAAAATGCGGGCAGCTTTATCAATTCATATAAAAGAGCGACAAATGGGGGGGGGGGGGGGGG